TACCAGCCCTCAACAAAGGCCAGCCAGAGCAAAAGATCTGGCCCCTGGCCTTAGAGTGTCCTCGGTGAGAGGACAGCAGCAATCTTTCTTTCCAGGCCTCCACCTTGACTCAGGAATGCTTTTCCCATCCCCATCTGCCTCCCTTTGATGTAAGTTCCCTCCACCCCAAGAACTTCTGTAATTTCCCCAAAGCCTTTTGACACCGTGGCCAGTCCTGCAGAACAGAACAGGAAATGATTCAAAGAGTCCTGGGGGTGGGTAACAAGTGGGCTGCTCACCTCCACCAAGTTGCAGTTCAGGCCAGCTGCCATCTCTGTGTGATCTTAGGCAAATCTCTCAACTCCCTGGGCCTGAGGGTCCTCATTTGGGCTGCGCAGCTTCTACCCACACACAACAGTCCTGAGCCCTGACTACAGGCAAGGATCATGTGAGGGTAGCCAACACGGGTAAGCCTTAAGAGGCCCAGCCTCGGGAGGGCAGCTGGTGTGTCAGAAATTACAAGACCACGAAGAAAACATGAGCGCCAGAGGCTAGGCGTGGTGGCTCACGCCTGTAATCCCAGAACTTTGGGAGGCTGAGCTAGTCAGATTACTTGAGGTCAGGGGTTTGAGACCTGGCCAATGTGATGAAACCCCATCTCTACTAAAAACACAAAAATTAGCCAGACATGGTGGCATGCGCCTGTAATCCCAGCTACCCAGGTGGCTGAGGAAGGAGAATCGCTTGAAGCCAGCTAGGTAGAGGTTGCAGTGAGCCCAGATCACACCACCGCACTCACTCCAGCCTGGCCAACAGAGTGAGACTCCATCTCGAAAAAAAAAAAAAAATCATGAGCACCAGGTGAGGCTCAACAGCGGACGGTCATAAGCACTGTCCATGCCCTGACAACTCCCAAAGCATGTCTGCAGCCCAGAATTCTCTCCCCAACTCCAGACTTCTCAGATCTTCTTGACACCTCCACTTGTGTGTCTAGGAGACACTTCTTTGTGTCCTGAACTCAATCCCTCTGCTAACCTGCTGCACCTACAGCCGCCCTCACCTCAGATGATGGCAGCTCCGCCTCCAGCTGCTCCACTCACAGACCTCAGAGTCATCCTCAGCTCCCCTCTCACTCTGCCCAGTCCTCTAGCAAGGCCTGTCGGGTCATCTTTAAAACATACCCAGAAACAGCCAGGTGCGGTGGCTCATGAGGTCAGGAGATCGAGATCATCCTGACTAACACAGTGAAACCCCGTCTCTATTAAAAAAAAACACAAAAACATTAGCTGGGCGTGGCGGCGGGCACCTGTAGTCCCAGCTACTGAGGAGGCTGAGGCAGGAGAATGGCGTGAACCCAGGAGGCAGAGCTTGCAGTGAGCCGAGATCATGCCACTGCACTTCAGCATGGGCAACAAAGCGAGACTCTATCTCAAAAAAAAAGAACCGGCCAGGTGCAGTGGCTCACACCTGTAATCCCAGCACTTTGGGAGGCTGAGGCAGGCAGATCATGAGGTCAGGAGATCGAGACCATCCTGGTTAACACGGTGAAACCCCATCTCTACTAAAAATACAAAAAATTAACCGGGCGCGGTGGCGGGCGCCTATAGTCCCAGCTACTCATGAGGCTGAGGCAGGAGAATAGCGTGAACCCGGGAGGTGGAGCTTGTAGTGAACCGAGATCACGCCACTGCACTCCAGCCTGGGCGACAGTGCGAGACTCTGTCTCAAAAAACAACAACAAAAAAAAAACCATACCCAGAACCTAGCCACTGCCCAGACCTCTGCAGCCCTGCTGGGTCCAGACCCCCACTATCTTCCACCTGGATGGGGACAGTGGCCTCCTGACCCAGCTCCCTGCTCCCACCCTGCCCACACACAGCCCAAGGGATCCTCCCAACCCTCGTGTTCCCCTACCTCGCTGTGGATGAAAGTCAAGAAAATTTCTGACATAAACCCAGAAGGCCCAGCACCGGGCCACTGAGTGCATGGTCTGCAAGGTAAGCACAGTGAAAGTGTTTCAAAAGCTCCTGGCAATGACATCGGCACAACATCTAAACATGGACACAAAAGTACCCGTCTGGATGAACTAGGAATTCAAAGCATGCTCTCAGCCAGATAGAGTTGAGAGGCCCTGCCCCACACCTCCTCCAGGCCCACCTCTGCCACGCTCCACCCCCATGCACCAGCCATGCTCAGTCACTCATCGCCACCTCCCTGGCTGCCTTTTCACAAACACCTTGAGTACACTCCCACTTCAGGGCCTTTGCACAGCTGCCCTTCTGCCTGGAAGGCTCTTTCCAACCTCCACAAGGCTCACCCCCATGCTCATTCAATGCTTGATCCATTCATACTACAAGCCACCCTCCCTTACCTCTCCAAAGACACTCAGCAGGACTTTTTGTCTTGCTGTTTTCCAGAGCACTCGTTACATAACATGCTGAATAATTTACATTGTGTTTTTCTTTCCCATTACCATGTAAGCTCCATGAGGGTAGAGGGCTCTGTTCTCTGCTCAGTGCCTGGTGCCCCATGGGAACTCAATAAATACAGAGCAAAGGGCAGGTAGGGCAGGCTTCAAAAGGAAAGCCCAGAGCTGCGCCTGCAGGCGGATGTCAGCAGGCCTGGGAAGGTCTGGAATGCTTCTGTGGGAACAGGAGGACCCCCAGACTGAGGGCAGGGGACACAGCTGGTGGAAGCAACTGAGGTCTGCAACGTCAAAGGCTCTGGGATGGCCCTGCAGGGCCTGGCATCTAAAGGGGCTTTCTGAGACTCAGGACCAGGGCATCCTTTATAAAGATGGACAGTGGGTGAGACTGGGAGAGGCTGACAGCAGGAAATTGGTCAGAAGGCAAGCACTGAATTGAGGCCATAGAACATGATGGACAATTCGAGAGACTTCCAAGGTCATATCTACAGATCTATGTGGGAGGTGAGAGAGAGGGAGGGGCACAGGGAGAATGAGATGAAATATGGCACATGAAAGAAAGCTCTCCTCAAACATCCTCAGATTATTGCCAGTCACACAAGAGGCCTTCCTGGCTGTGGCTGCTCTCATGTGAAGAGGGCTTCCGAGCAGTCTGCCTCCTCTGCCTCTGTGGGGTCTGCGGTCTCAAATGTACCCCTCACAAACACCTCTCCTGAATCACAGCCTGCATCTCACCTGACAGTTTTCTGAATGGCTGGCATCGTTCTGACTTTTCCACTGCCGATTTCCAAGGTGTGCTCAAAACAAATCCACTGGTGTGCATAGATTAAGCACTTACCTTATACTCAACGCTTTGTGAAGCATCAAGAAAGAACAGAGAAGAAACATGGCCAGGGTCTTTGCCCCCTACTCCGACAGCCCCCTATCCTCTGACGGGGAGGGAGTGAGATGTGAAGAGGATGCCACACCCAACAGTTAAAGGAAGAAATGCAACCCATATAACACTTGCTTGCTCAAAACTCATCTGGGGCATGAGAAATCTTCGAAGAAAAAAATACTCATTTTTATCTTCAACTCCTATCAGGGCTCAAGGACAAGAGAAATCCACATGGGGTGGATACCTTAAGCAACTTGCCAGGTTGGGGGAACAGGGGGCAGGTGGTAGGAGCGACATCCAAGCAGAGAGAACTGAATGGCACAGGCAAAGGTGCAGAGGCAGGGCCAGAGACAGCTGCAGCAGGGGGCAACGGCCAGCCTGCAGGCCTGCCAGGCCGTATTTAACACGCCAGGAAAGCCAGTTTGCCAGCAGGAGAGCTAGAGGGCCAGGGGAACACAGAATTAGCCACCAAGGCTCAAAACAGACCTTGTCAGTTACCAAATGGGTAGAAAAACAAAAAGGGAACTCCATGGAGAGTTCTGCGGGACCTGCTGAGAACAGCAGCCCCTGACTGTCCGGGTGGGGTGAAATGGGCATGTAACTCCAATGCCTCTGGGTGACCCTTTAATGCATGGTTTTATCATTTACATTCTTTACAGTGCAGAGCTGGCCTTCCTTACATTTTCTAATGTCAGTTTAGAAGAAGCCAAAATCCTGTATAAACTGTTAGGAGAAAACAGGGGCATGAAGGGAAATATCCTAGAGTTAAATATAGTTATCACACAAATACCCAAGTCAAACAAGCTGTAATATTAATGAGGCATGAATGAACAGTAACTGTTTCCAGGGCTGAATAAAGGCTGGCCACCTTATCAGGGAAGTCGCACAAAAGCTCTCTGTCGTGCCCCTTCTTGTAAGAAGAGTAGAAGAGAACAGACACCTTTCTTCTCTGTAGCAGAGACCCCACTTGGGACCGAAGGTAGATTAGACTGAGAGCATTTTCTTGTAGGCAACAGTGAAAATCTGTTTTCAGTTTAACCTGCTACAGTTGTAGGGCTCTGATCAGGATGCATTATTAATTAGTAGAAAGAGAAGCCCCATTTTTAGTTACCCATTGAATTAGGTATCTTCAAACACCATGACCTAGAATTGACAGTACAGCTAACTCTCTGTTTTCCATGGTAACGGGGATTTCAGGAAGAAAAGCAGTTAATTGGGAAGCAAAAAAACAATCCCATTTTATTCAGGGCAAGGCATACATTGCTGCATTAAGGATGATGGCTTCCAATGACCATCCAGTGAGGATCTTACATTGGTCTGGCGTTGTGAGGTTTAAATCATACATTTCCGGTCCAACAAGCCAAGGTGTCTGACCCACCACCATGGGTGGGCCAGACAGGTAGCAGAACCCCCTCCAGTTTGTCAGGGAATGAGAGCATGGGGAGAGCATGGGCCATCACCCCATGCCTTACCCAAAGAACAGCTCCCTGCTAAACTTCTGACAGAACTTCCAGCAAGTGACATGTGATCCTGGGAAGGGAGCACAACCAGGCCACAAGCTCCCAGGAGAGGGGAAGAAAGGGCTCCTGGGCCTGCTGGAGGCCAAACCGCCAGGCCCAGAGGAGACAGGGAGAGAGTTGGCTGTACTGGCATGGCAAGCACACCCCCAGCAAGCTGCCCAGCATTTCTAGTAAGGAAAAAAGCAAACCGCCGTCCCACCTCGGGCTGCGCGGTCACAAGTGAGGCAGGGCTGGGACCAGTCACCATTTGGGCGGGAGGCTAGCCCCAGGTGCGGCAGGAAGGGGTGGCGCTGGCTCAGTGGCTGCAGCTCCTCACTCTGACCCAGCGGGGCCCCTGTGCGGTGCTGGGGGCACAGCGAGGCCTCAGGCGCTGTGGGGCAGGGACACACACACACACACACAGAGAGAGACACGCCATTAGAGGGTGCGCAGCAGCCCCTGCAGGAGGTGCAGGCCAAGGTTGCTCGGGGTCAACCCCGCAGCCCACTGCGGTGGAAGCTGTGAAAAGCCCGCTGACCACATTCTGACCCTGAACATGCAGCTCAAGCGTAAGGTCTGAGGGAACCAAAAACGTCAGAGCTGGAACTGTGGCAGTATCATTTAGCCCAGCAGGACCTATGGCTACAGGCCCTGGACTCGGTATGAGGAGGAGGGGTGGATCAAACCAGGTTCCTACACCCCCACTGTCCCACCCCTGCATCTGCAATGTTCCACAAATTGCTCATGGAACATGAAGCTGTTTCAGCTCCTTGCTTAGCATCCTCTGGATTCTTGAGAATAATGACTGTGAAAAACACATAAAAAGAATGGCAGCTCCCCTTGGCCTGCATCAAAGCCACAGCCACAGCCATAGGAACAGAGGAAGTCAAGACAGTTTGGGACCAATTCAAGCCACAGGGAGCCTCTCTGGGGGTTTGTGAGAGGGTCCTTGAGAGAAATAAAACAATTTCACTTCTTAAAAGACAATCTTCATTTTTTTGGTGCAACTTAACCCTACGTTGAGGCTTCTGGAGATTAAGGTTAAATTGTTTTCAAGAGGTTTAACCAAGGTCACAACTTTTGCTTAAGCAAAGCAGTTCAAACTAAGAAGGAAAAATGACAACTACATATGGGACACGAATATGTTAACCTGCTCCGAGCTCGGTAATAATTCAGAATTCCTAGAAGCAGGAAATCTGACTTTAATATGCAAATCTCTCATTTAACACATTTCTCAAAATGCTAGTGGTGGCGGTACAATGTCAAATCGAAACCTGCAAAAGCAGGAAATGTTAGTAAATGGTCTGGTAATAGAACACTGACTAAGCAAGGGTTGACTGAGGTCTGTCAAACTACAAACAACTTCCTCTAAAAAAAAGTTTTCTGCTATGCTGACATAGCGTTACTAGGGATCTGCACTTTTGTTTCAGCAGCCAGAAGATATAATTTCTACAACCCCCACCTCCATCCTCACCCTGTCCCCCAAAGGCCACTAGGGCCACCTGTCTCTTTGAGTGTGGGGTCCACACTGTGGCTGGCACAGCACTGTGAAAATGGAGAAACACTTGCTGGGGGACCACTTCCAATGAACCACCAGGATGCTAATGTGGCTCACAGAGACCAGCTTCCATCAGGCCCTGAACTCCACTCTGTTCCCTGAAACCTCTTCTGACCATAGGACAAAGACCCATATTAATCCAACATGCAAAACTAGAACTAGACCGGCCCCACTCAATGCAGACCCAGCCATGCAACCAAATCACCAGGAACTCTCATTTGCATGTTTGGAAGGGAGGCCTTGTTCACACTAGCAACCTGTACAAGTTTTTTGCTGAAGTAGAATAATACTGAGCCATTCAAGAAACCTGCAGCTCAGTCGGTAGAAAAACATTTAATATGAGATTAAAGAAACAAGATTATCAAGAAAGAACATTTGTTTCCTCCTGGCTACCAGAGTCAACTCCCCATTGTATGTGCAGCAGGACAACCCTCTTTGCTGCCAGACCCATTCTGACAAGGAAGCAGAAAAGACCTGCCTCTGCCCACCTTCTGCCCAGATGTACAGAATGAGACCCACAGAGCAGCAAAGGGTGTTAGAGATCCCTGAACCAGAGCAGCCAAGGGACTAAAATAAAAGTCCCTTTATAACCAAAACTCAATCCAGACCAAGAACAATTTGCCTGGGCCACCAAAAGCTGGGTACTCAGGACAGGTTCAAGCTCTGCAGTAGTCATCACTCCCTAAGCCCAGGGACACCCACCCCACCTGTCACCCATTGCTGCTGCTCTGGCAAAGGGTGAGAAGCACTTTCATTACTCACAGCCATGGTAGGAGGCTGGGGAACCCCCAGCCTTGCCATACTCCTGCTCCGAGTGGCTGGTGGAGAGGTTCGGCTGGCTGGAGCCTCGCCCAAAGGTGATCTGGTTGCTGCCCATGCCAGTGGCAACCTGGGCCATGCGCTCTTTGGTTTTGAGAGCCTGGGCCCTCTCAGCCTTCAGCCGTTCCTCATCCTTGAGGAGGGCCACCAGTTGCTTTGACTTCTCACGCACATTGATGCCCTGGTCCTTGCCATCTCGGTCAATGTACTGGAAGTCCTTCAGGGTCTGGATGGCGAAGATGTTCTCACGGCACTGCTGGGCCACGCGTTCGGAGCCTGTCTTGATGAGGTAGTCCAGCAGGGTCAGCGCCTTGTACACATGCCGCCAGTTCTTGCCATGGTCATTGAGCCGCTTCCACACCATGCTCATGATCTCCGAGAAGGCCACCACATTGTAGGTCAGGTCGGCGATCTCGGTCATCAGAGAACTGGATGGGCCCCACGGGTCATTGGAGGTGGCTTCCCGGACTTTGATTTCTGCCTCCGAGTAATTGTTCACAATGTTTTTCATCTGCCGTCTGATAGACGAAGTCGTCATTTTTATTTTCTTTGTTACAAGTTTAAAGCCCTTCAAAGAGAGAAACTTTCCTGTCCTTGGTAAGTGCGCACCCTATGAAGGTTCAGTTTCCGTAATCAAGCTGGAGTAAGATCCCTGAATGGTCATTTCCTCCTTTGGAGCCTCAGATTCGAAAAGCTGGAAGCCATGACCTAGAGAAAGAGAAAACCCACTCCACTGCGACGTAAGCCCCCTGTGAGGGTGGGAGACTGGTCCAGCAGCAGGTACTGGGTAAAACTGGGGAGCTGAGTGGACATACCCAGTCTCCTCAGGATGAACCCAAGATAAAATCAATATTACCAGTTAACAATGAATAAAATTTACACTCAAGTTTAAGCCTTTAGGAGAAAGGAAGTAAACATCATGACTATTGTTCTATTTTCAAAACACTTCCACTGGAATGGCTATTTTATGGGTTGTCTTTTCACTGCCTGGCAAACGTCAGTTGTGGAAGAATCGGAAATGCTGGGGGAAGCTGATCTTGGCAGATTTAAAATTATGTGTGAGACCAGATATGGTGGCTCACACCTGTAATCCCAGCACTTTGCGAAACTGAAATGGGAGGATTACTTGAGGCTAGCCTGGTCAAAACAGCAATACCCCCATCTCTATTTTTTTTTAAGTTTATTTAAATTTTAAAAAAATACACATTATGACAAGAAAGAGACTAATTTCAGGTCTATCTTAACTCAAAAATGCCTGTCAATACCTTCAAAACTGCTTTGGTCCATTGTGCTTCCAAATGTCCAGAAAACTCTCCTTGACAATCACTTTTCGCCTGACCTTCCCTGCTCAAGAATTTATAAAGATTCCTAACAGCTCTTCTAGAAAAAGGATAAAGACCTCCACTTGGCTTTCAGAAGCCTCCAGCGTCTGGCCCAAGCTAATACAGCCTGAAAACTAACCTGGTTATAGCCCAGCCCCTCATTTCACAAAGAAAACTGAGACCCCTGGCTAGCCTTTAACTCGCTCCAACCAAACACATCATCTATCCCCTCTCTTTCTCCAGATAACACTCACTTACCAGGCTACAGTGAGGTCCACGTCTGTGACATGAGGCTGCTGTTCACAAGTTTGGTAACCTTCATCTGCCTCATCACCAGCGAGCACCCAGCACTTAGCACTGTGCCCGACACAGAAATGAACACTGTTAAATAAATAAATGTTACAGGTTAAAAACAGAGTCCCTGCCCTCAAGAAGGCCACAGTCTGGCAGGGGATGAAAGTTCCTTACCTATAAAATGGGAAAACTGAGTCCCTAGAAGTCTCCAGGGATTGCCCCAGGTAGATTAGGACAGCTAGGGCCCAGACAGGAAGCAAGGCGCTCCACCCACCATCCTGACCACCTGCTTGGCTGTCCCCGCAAACCCTCAGGGGAAGGATTATTTTTCCCACTATACAAGTGAGGAACCTGAGGCCTGGAACACACGGTCAGCTGACTAAGGTCACTCCAGGCCCAGAACCTGCACTTCCCTTTCCTCCTGTGGTGGTCTTTACTCTCAAGATGTTTCTGCCACAGAAACAACAGGTAGCTCCTACCTTCCTCATCTAAAGCCTCAGATGGGTAAGGGGCACATAAAAAAAAAAAAAAAAAAAACAAGTAAACAAAAGGTGGCAGAAGCAAGGAAAAGCCACAGGAAATGCAATGACTACTCATCACAATCACACAAAAAGGAGGGTTTGCTATTGTGAAATATGTACTTGGTCTTCATCCCTGTCACTTGGCAGGGATTCCAAACCTAAAATCCTCAGAATCTCCACAGTGATGTCTTTTTGCATGTGAATGATTGACTGAGGGCTGGCAGTCCCTAGGCAACTTCAGGATGGGGCTGGTCACCAGAAAGACCAAGGCAAGATCAGTCCCGGGAAGAGGAGAGGGACTGAAGATTATCACCAATGGCCAATCATTTAGTCAATCATGTCTCCATAATGAAGCCTCCATAAAAAGACATAAGGACAGGCTCAGGAAGCTTCTGGATGGCTGAACACATGAAGGTTCCTGAAGGGTGACACTGAGGTATGGCATGGAAGCTCTGCATCCTTCTCCTCCACCTGGCCTATGCATCTCTTCATCTGTATCCTTTGTAATATCCTTTATAATAAATAGGTAAATACAAGTCTATTTCCCTGAGTTATGTGAGCCACTCTACCGAATTAACTGAACCCAAAGAAGGGGTCTCAACTTGAAGCTGGTTGGTCAGAAGTTCCAGAGGCCTGGACTTGCACTGCTGGGAAGGAGGGAGTGGTCTTGTGGGACCAGGCCCTCAACATGTGGGATCCGAAGCTACCTCCAAGTAAATATCAGAGTAGAACTGAAGGATACCTAGCTGGTGTCCTGCAAAACTGACTGCTTGCTTGTTACGTGGGGAGAAAGTTACAGAAGTCTTCTGTACTGATTGCTGTTTAGTGTTAAATGAGAAAATAGGAAAAAGCACTTTGTATGATCTTCCACACACAACAAGGGGGCAGGTCGTAAAATTTCACACTGGTAATAACCCATACATCTGCTCTGGCCAAGGAGACCTTCTCTCCACCCTCAAATATGTCAAGGAATCTGACTCTATCTGAAGTCACAGAACAGGGCTTCAGCTAAAACCAGGCATATTCTGCAAAGGCTGTGAAAGGACCAGGGATAAAAACTTTTTCACGGTGGCCTGCACATTTGACGTAATTAGGTTTTTCATTCATGATGCAACATTTGCTGCTGGCAAAGATACAACGGGCCTCACAAAGAAAAAAACAAAAGAAAATTTTAATTTTTAATGAATATTTCCCAGCTTAAAGGGCAAATATGTGTCAAAATCAGTAGTAGTAGTAATGATCAGAGGTACTTAATACTCAGGAGCCTTACAATGTGCCAGGGACCACCAGGCCCTTCTATTTGTTGTTCCATTTGATGTAGAGCAGGTATGACTCTTCAGCTTCTCAGAGAGGTGGGCAGAGCTAGGATTCACCACTGACGAAGACTTTGGCTGGGCATGGTGGCTCACACCTGTAATCCTAGCACTTTGGGAGGCCCAGGCAGGCAGACTGCCTGAGCTCAGGAGTTCAAGACCAGCCTGGGCAACGTGGCGAAACCCTGTGGTGATACACATCTGTAATCCCAGCTCACTCAGGAGGCTGAGGCACAAGAACTGCTTGAGCCTGAGAGGCGGAGGTTGTAGTGAGCCAAGAGCACACCGCTGCACTCCAGCCTGGGCAACAGAGTGAGACCCTGTCTCAAAAAAAAAAAAAAAAAAAAGGAAAGAAAAAAAAGAGGACTTCGGCCACATCCTTCCCAGTAAAATGGTATCAAATGGTTGAGAATGTCCTAAGGAAAAAAAAAAAGAACACTTTCCTAAGTGAGAAACAATGCCCTGGGCTCTGCTGCCCTCCCCTATCTGGTGACTTTGTAGGTGGAAGCGGAAGACCTCCAGCTGGGCCCAGTTCCCAGGGAGGCTGTGAGGCCCAGTCAGGGCTCCCAATGAGCCTCCTAGACCTTTGGCAGCAAAGAAAAGGCAGTGATTCCTGTGAGCAAGGGCCAAAGTGTCGCTGCCCTCCCAGACACAAGCTGGGAAAGGAACTCCAAACAGGGGCTGTTGACCAAGGCAGGGGTTTTCTCTAACAGACTAACTTGCAAGGACATCTGTTGATGGTCTCTGAAATACTTAAACTTCAAGAAAAATGAAAAAGCTAATAAAATAATAAAATACTAGTTATAGTCAAAAAAAACAAAATAAGGCCTATATAATTTGTGTGGTTGCCTGTTATTTTCTTAAAGCTGATAGGAACAGCTTTCAGCACAGGCGGATGGTGAGAAGTGAGAGGTATGGAGCTAAGAAATCCTCACTAGGGCCTGGCATGGTGGCTCACACCTGTAATCCCAGCACTTTGGGAGGCCGATGCGGGAGGATCACTTGAGGCCAGGAGTTCAGCAACAGCCTGGCCAACATGGCAAAATCCTGTTTTTACTAAAAATACAAAAATTAGCCAGGTGTGGTGGTGCACACCTGGAATCCCAGCTACTTGGGTGGCTGAGGCATGAGAATCACTTGAACCCAGGAGGCAGAGGTTGTAGTGAGCTGAGATGGCGCCACTGCGCTCCAGCCTGGGTAACAGAGCAAGACTCTGCCTCAAAAGAGAAAAACAAAAAGAAATCTTCATGATATGGTTTGGCTGAGTCCCTACCCAAATCTCAACTTGAATTGTGTCTCCCAGAATTCCCATGTGTTGTGGAAGGGACCCAGGGGAAGTAACCGAATTATGGGGACCAGTCTTCTCCGTGCTATTCCTGTGATAGTAAATAAGTCTCACAAGATCTGATGGGTTTATCAGGGGTTTCCACTTTTGCTTCTTCCTCGTTTTTCTCTTGCTGCTGCCAGGTAAGAAGTGCCTTTCACCTCCTGCCATGATTCTGAGGCCTCCTCAACCATGTGGAACTGTAAGTCCAATTAAACCTCCTTTTCTTCCCAGTCTCGGGTATGTCTTTATTAGCAGTGTGAAAACAGACTAATACACCTCACAAGGGCCAGGTGTGGTGGCTCATGTCTGTAATCCCAGCACTTTGGGAAGCTGAAGCAGGCAGATCACTTGAGCTCAGGAGTTCAAGACCAACCTGGGCAACATGGCGAGATCCCATCTCTAAAAAATATAAATAAATAAACAAACAAATAAATAATTCTCACTAGGAGAAAAGTCACTGGAGGCTTTTTTTTTTTTTTTTTTTGAGATAGTCTTGCTCTGTCACCCAGGCTGGAGTGCAGAGGCACAATCTCGACTCACTGCAAGCTCCGCCTCTCTGGTCCACACCATTCTCCTGCCTCAGCCTGTAGCTGGGACTACAGGCGCCCACCACCATACCCAGCTGATTTTTTGTATTTTTAGTTGAGACGGGGTTTTACCATGTTAGCCAGGATGGTCTCAATCTCCTGACCTCGTGATCTGCCCGCCTCAGCCTCCCAGAGTGCTGGGATTACAGGCGTGAGCCACCGCGCCCAGCCGAGGCTTTTCATTTTCCAGGCCAACTGGGCTACGTACCTCACCTAAGCAAGACTTTGGAGGCCGAAACTAATGATTCCAACCATAAGACAGTCCATGATGCGTGGGCCATGAGGCAGGACTCTAGCAGTGCCAGTGGGCACAAAGCTCTAGCTATTCCAGCTGAACATCTGGACTTCCATTACTTTGCCACACTTGGCCTTGGATACCTCAGGTCCCCATTTTTCACTGTTTCCCCTCAACCACAGGATTGGCTGTAAACATTTAAACATCTCCCAGCAAACATCTGCCATGAGTCCATCCCAGGAGCAAGCTCCAAGCTCCAAACATCATATACCACCCTCCACAGCACAACCTGTTATTTATGTCTGTTTCTTTTTTTTTTTTTTCTTTTTTTGAGACAGAGTTTCGCCCTGTTGCCCAGGCTGGAGTGCAGTGGCGCAATCTCGGCTCACTGCAACCTCTGCCTCTCAGGTTCGTGTAATCCTGGTGCCCCAGCCACCCAAGTAGCTGGGATTATAGGTGCCTGCCACCACACCCAGCTAAGTTTTGTGTTTTTAGTAGAGACAGAGTTTCACCATGTTGGCCAGGCTGGCCTTGAACTCCTGACCTCAAGAGATCCACCTGTCTCGGCCTCCCAAAGTGCTGAGATGACAGGCGTGAGCCAACCGCGCCTGGCCACATTCTATTATTTCTAGAATCTGAGTTTTGATTTGTTCTCACTCTTTTTCGCACAGTTTGCACGCTCCACTTTCCAAACTTTCCTTCTCAATTTTCCAATTTTCTTGTTTCCAGCTTGTTGAGACTGAACTAATGCACATGCAAATGCAACTAAAACAGGATCATTTGTTACCTTCTGGGCTCCTCACTCAAACCTGAGGAAGTGTGTGATTAGCTCACAATCACTTCTTAAGAACCTCCAGGCCAGATATGGATGTTAGAGGTGGAGGTGGGAGGGTTGTCAAAACAAGGAAAAACAACATTAAACTCTGTTAAAAGTTTAGACTCAATACAGCAAAAAACAAAACAAAACAAAACAAAAACTTATTCTCATAAATTACATACTGACAATTCAAAGGATGCTCAGTAACTAAATATGCCTTTAGAAATCCAGTTCTATCATCATATCAGGTATTACCTAGAACTATTTGATGCTAACTGATAAATGAA